ATTCTCAATCGCCTTGAAATTTTGTGAGAAGAACCTTCAAATGTTAGAGAATTTGCGAACTTTTACTCAAAATTTAAACCGACAACTTTTTTATCATTAAATTATCCTAGAAAGCAAAATTTGCCTGAATTTTACTTATGAAATTTAGATGCGTCGATCATTTGACTTATCTATTAAAAATTTTATGCACATGATCTGCGTGACAAATTGGATGCCTGATATGATTGTGATTAGACACGCAATTCTGAAGCCTGAAAAGTTTATCCTACATGAGATTCCGTCAAAACTATCAAGTCTATTGACTGACCCCTTATGCAATTCATTCATTGAATCATCCCCTCTTTTGAAGTTTGTGCAATGTCTTAAACGAAGTAAAATTTCATGTACTATTAGAAAGGCTATCGACTGACTCCTTATCCAGTTTATCCGTTGAATTTTCTCCTTGAAGTTTGTGCAATGCCTTAACGAAGTAAAATTTCACGCGATATCAAACTTAAGAGTTTATCTTACACGAGATTCCATTAAACTACTAATCTGTTGACTGATTCTTTATGTAGTTCTTTTGAACTCAATGAAATATTCAAACAAAGTAAAGTAATTCACGTGCTTTTCCAAAAATGTAAGTTTATTAATTGACCAACAGAAATTATCCGTTAAAATTTTATATAAGAGCCAAAATCCTACGATTATAAGATAGTTCTTTGTCAAAAAAATCAAAATATATCAAGACATTACCCTGAAAACTGTTCTGAATGTGCCAGTTATTGTGTGTTCGCAAGCTTTGCAAGAAGAGTGCTAGTACTAACCTCAGACGATGGCCCTAACCAATTTAGTCAACATTATGATCCCAACAATCATGTCGGATCTTTTCAACAACAATCTCATTACGTTGGACCTGTTCAACATCCTCAGCAACCACTTATTTTGAATGGGCTTTACTGCCCTCGTAATCACGGACCCGATCAATTTTCTCAGCAACCCCCTCTTATTAATGTATCCGATCAACTTACTCACTACTCTCATACTCACGGACCCGATCAATTTCCCCCTCTTTTTAATGGACCTGATCAACCTCCTCGAATTTCTGGGATAAACAATATTAATGATATAAATAATATGCAACCTCACTAATCACAGCGTTCAATACTTTAATAATCGAAATCATCCGCAATCCCCATTGACTCCTGTACAAGCCAATATCCAAATCAATAACCTCCAAAGACAACAATCATTCGAGTCTCAAGCTTCAACTACGACTAATCAGCCCCCTTACAAGACTTTAGAAATTGTAACTGTCAAGTTTGTAGTATTTTAAAGAACCACTGTTTTCAAAGTGTTAGTGAACCACAGAATGAAAATTGTGTTACACGAAATAATCGAAATGAAGTGAATATGAATAATGCTTCAGTAAATATCATCAACAACAATAATCCTCAAGATTCTATCAACAACAAAAATAATCCTAAAGATTCTATCAACAACAAAAATAATCCTCAAGATTCTCAAGACTCGAAAAAATTCAAATATATTTTTATTGCATTTATCATTATTTGCGTAGGTTTAGCACTAGGATTAATTTTTTTCAACAGTAACGTCACAATTATATCCGCTATTTTTGCTGATAATAGAACCTTTTTTTTGAATCTAAGATTGGTGGGGCAGTTGGCTACAATTATGAGTACTGCCATTAGTTTTTTTTAGATTTTACACTACTGGAAAATAATAATACTTGATTTATTTTTTTCATAATTTATTTCTTTACACTTAACAATGTTTTAGGATTTGATAATAAAAATTGCTTGTCTTAGAAGTTGCTAATGATTTGAACTTAGTATATAAAGTGACTTAGCTTATCTGTTATAGATTTTTATTGGAAAAAAGTTCTGGAGATAAGGAGATAATAAAAATTGCTCTTTAAAATAATAATAAATGCACTTTTGCATAGTAAATAAACATGATCTTAGCAGCCTCGATTACTTTTTACTTCTTTGATATTCAATTATTCCAATAGCTATAAAAGTAAAGATTATAGCTGTATTTTAATGTTTTCAATCAAGAAGTTTCATACTAGCGTTTATAAACCATAATCTTTAGTTTTAAGTTTACTTGATTGACTGATAATTATTATTGTAAAAGTGCAGTAGTTGAAGCGATTTGAATGAA